AACCAAATAGCCAACCCTTTGTTCAACCAAATAGCCAACTATCCAGCCAACTAAAGACTCAAAAAACCATCCATCCAACCATTCGGCAACCAAATTGTAAAATATTCGACCAACTAAATAGCCATTTATCCAGCCGTCCATCCATCCATCCGGCCAGCCAACCAACCACCCAACCACAGGGCCAACCAGATAGCCAATAATTCGGCCAACTAAATAGCCAACCCTTTGTTCAGCCAAATAGCCAACTATCCAGCCAACTGAACTACAGACGACCATACATCCAACCATTCGGCCAACCAAATTGTAAAATATTCGACCAGCCAAATAGCCAGCTATCCTGCCAATTTAATATACATCCATCCATCCATCCATCCGGCCAGCCACCCAACCCCCCAACCACACAGCCAGCCAGATAGCCCATAATTCGGCCTACCAAATAGCCAACCCTTTGTTAAACCAAATAGCCAACTAAACACTCAGTCAACCATCCATCCAACCATTCAACCAACCAAATTGTAAAATATTCGACCAACTAAATAGCCAGCTATCCAGCTATCCATCCGCTTAACCTTCCGGCCAACCAAATAGCCAACCCTATGTTCAACCAAATAGCCAACTATTCTGGCAACTAAACACGCAGTCAACCATCCATCCAACCATTCGGCAAACCTAATTGCAAAATACTCAACCAACCAAATAGCCAGCTCAACAGCCAACTAAATATCCTGCCATCCACCTGGCCAACCAACCATCAGCCCAACAACCCGGCCAACCATACAGCCAATCATTCGACCAACCAAATAGCCAAATATCCAACCAACTAACACTCAGTCAACCATCCATCCAACCATTCGGCAAACCAAATTGTAAAATATTCGACCAACCAAATAGCCAGCTATCCAGCCAACTAAATATCCATCCACCCATCCGGCCAACCAACTAATCAACTAATTAACCAACCATCCGCCCAACCACCCGGCAACCATCCATCCAACCATTCGGCCAACCAAATTGCAAAATACTCGACCAACCAAATAGCCAGCTATCCAGCCAAATAAATATCCAGCAATCCATCCGGCCAGCCAACTAACCAACCAACCAACCATCCGCCCAACCACCTTGCCAACCATACAGCTCATCATTCGACCAACCAAATAGCTAAATATCCAACCAAACAAACGCTCAGTCAACCATCCATCCAACCACTCGGCCAACCAAATTGTAAAATATTCGACCAACCAAATAGCCAGCTATTCAGCCAACTAAATATCCAGCCATCCATCTGGCCAACCAACTAATCAACTAATTAGCCAACCATCCGCCCAACCACCTGGCCAATCATACAGCTCATCATTCGACCAACCAAATAGCTAAATATCCAACCAAACAAACGCTCAGTCAACCATCCATCCAACCACTCGGCCAACCAAATTGTAAAATATTCGACCAACCAAATAGCCAGCTATCCAGCCAACTAAATATCCAGCCATCCATCCAGCTAACCAACTAATCAACTAAACAACCAACCATCCGCCCAACCACCCGGCCAACCATCCAGCCAATCATTCGACCAACCAAATAGCCAACTATTTAACCATCCATCCGGACAACCAACCGGCCAATTTACCAATCGACCAACCAGCCAACAAGCTTGCTAAATGATCTGCCAATCCGCCAACCAGGTTCGAAGTCTTGTAGCAGCAACTTGAGAATATATAATCTGCAATGCCATGACCCGTTGGTTTGCCCAAACTCATTGACAGTCCATACCAACGATGTCGTCATCTCAGAATGTGTGCCTATAGCGATGGCCCACGGGTTGGTGATAATTTGATACGGGGCGGTTCCTACAGTGTCAAAAGAGGCTGTAGGATGGCCACGGCAAAACACGATAGAGACGAACAAGAAGGCGACGATGAGGATGACGAAGACGATGAGGAGGGGGAGGGGGGTGAAGAGGAAGTAGTGACAAGACGAAATCGCAATTGCATCGAACCACCCGACAAACCTGTTGCTGGGACTGTCTGTAGCACTGAGGGGGCCTGGAGTATGTTTGTAGCTGACACGGTTGGTGTCGGGTCGGCGGGGTTGCCTCGAACCTCGACCCACCAGCCAGTCCGACTCTCACGAGAGTTTGTCGAATCGGAGGCCAGCCGGGACGAAGGCAGCGCCGAGGCTGGGCCATCGAATCGCGACCAATTGCCTGGCCTCCTTGGCGAGCCGATTTGCCGATTTGAGGAAGAAGATGAAGAAAAAGAAGAGGATGATGAGGAAGAGGCGGAGGAGGTTGTCTCGCCTGCGGAACAGTTAGTCTCTCGGGCCTATTGGTCCTGGCAACTTGGGCAACTGGGAAAGTTGGAGCAAAGGAAGCCTAGGCAGGATCGGGGATCTGTGCTTTCAGATCCGATCAACTGCTGGCCGAACGATATCCAA